CAGGCGGGGTAACCATGGGGGGGGGGTCGAGGGAGCAGGGGGAGTGGGGCTTCTAATGCAGAGCCCCCTATGCAGCATGAGGTAGTGGGGGGCAGTGGGGATCCCCCCCAAGCCCAGCAGCACTCGGTGAGCACCGGGGCTTTTCTTTAAAGTACTGGGAGCTGGGGCAGGCGGGGCAGCCATGGGGTGGCTGGGGGAGCAGGCAGGTGTCGGGGGGGCTGGCAGGGCTCCCCCCATGGTCCGCTCCCCCAGCCACCCCTCCCCTGCCCCTAGTACTTACCAACTCAGAGTGGCTGCAGCTCCTTGTTGCAGCCACTGGGGACTGCCTGAATCATCAAAGCTCTCTGAATCTTTGCTGAAGCTTCAGAAACCTTTGAATTGATTCAGACCTTTAAATTGGTCCCCTGGTTCGATTTGGATTTGGAGATTCGGCCACCGAATTGGGCCCAATCTCCTCCGAATTGAATCACCACCCGAAGCTTGGCACAGCCCTACTAATTAGATTATAACCTCATTAAAGTGGTGGCAGGTCGGGTTCTGGTGTCTATGTAATGTGTGGCCCCTGATGCTGATAAGATGTTTTAAAATATGATATAGCATTTTTTTATTTTGCAGGATGAGAGATTTAAGGAGATAACAAATAAGTAATGTGGCTGTGTCTAAGCTATTTTAACTTCATGCTCCTGGAGTTCTCCTAGAAGGGATTTCCATGTGTCATCACCCTTCTAATTTAGCTCCTATACCAAGCCAGAGGCTGTTACATTCTACAGAAATCTGTGGATATAGTTCTCTAAATTTAGCCAAAAATTGTCAATTTTCAGGGAAATGTTCTACTTTCAAAGCAAAATACAGGACATGCTGATTTGTTAATGGACTGTTGATATCATTATATGCAGTAGTGAGGCTATATTACTCACATCCAGCCTTGAAAGTACATTGCAGGATATGGTAGGGGCAGTCATCAACTGAAGAATCCATTATTCCCTTGTGTACTTCTGAACAATGAGTTCATATTAGTTAAAGATCCTGGTGAAAGAGGTTACTGCTTATGTTCCTATCTGTTGTTTTCTTCATCCACCTATGTTTGTTAGGAAAACATACCTCCAAAATAATCTCATGTTGCTACAAGTTAAGAGTCTTCTGAAGTCTTCAGTATTATTATTTATTCCTTGTTGAGCAAAGAACATGTGCATGGTAATATATAAAACGCAAAGATTAAAATTCAAAGTTAACATAAAGTGAGATGCACAGGGCTAACTGAGGAGTAAGTAATTAAATAATTTTAAAGGAATGAAAGTAAA